GGTCGTCGCGATGTTGTCGGTCGTTGGGTCGTCGGTAAAGCCAAAGCCGACGAGAGATGAATGGGTCTGGCCCCGGGGGTGGTTCGCCCAGCTGACTCGGGTCGCCATGGCAACGCGGCGTCGACCCAGGAACGACCCTGCCCACCCCTACAATATTCATACGCGTCCACCCTTGCCTTGTCTCTTCGCCCTCGCAGCCGATTCATCTTTTTTTTTCATACCTCGCCGATCTCCTTTTCGGGACGAGATCGGCCGACCGGCCGGCCGGCCGGCCGGCCTCTCGTCGCCCACCTGCTCGCCCCGCTCTGTCCATTCGAACGAAGGGACTGACAAACGGAGCAGTGAATACAGCAGCGTTGAGTGTGCTTTACCTGAAAGCCGTATCTGGAGCTTATAACTCGTATTTCGCGCCGCACGTTTCGGGAAATGTGCTCAATCTCTGAACTTTGACAGGGATAATCCGGCTGATGCATCGCGGTGAATTCAAAATGATATAATTTCCAATTGATTATTTCTTAATCCTTTAAGTTCTTTTAATGTGTATGATACGTGAACTTTCAATTAAACGTTACGGCTGTTGATTAAGTTGTTTTTATGAGGAGATTAAATTTGATAGTTGCCACGTCGTAAGAGTGTAACGGAAACTAGTGCACTATTGAAATAATTGTTTCTACAGCGCAATCTCAATCCGAGACGCGAAGGACTGATAATTATACGCGAAAGGAGAATTTATCAATGGACATTAAAACATCGCGATTATTCCGAGATCAATTCTACTTATGTGACGTAAATCAAGTGTTTTCTGGGTTAAAATATCCATTTAGCGAGAGATTCGTTTCAGATGCAATTTTGCACGACTTGATTCACTTTAATATTTAAAATATCCGAAGGACGGATAAAAATAATTTTGCCGTATAGGCAAGAGATATGAATACTTAGCTTATATTTATAGTTACATTGCAGAGAGCAAAGGATACGTATATCTGGTCCCTACTGTACCGAACTTGAAGATTACGATTGATACCAGTTTCATCGATGTTGCTGATAACTGTCATGTCCGGCACGCCGCACTCAGGGCTAGAGCCTGGAAAGCAAAGAGAGAAGTCGATTATGCAATAAAAATATCAACAGAATCAATTAATTATTCCATTCCTTTTCTCAGCTTCATTAATTTGTCCTTACAATGATTCGTATAATTTATTGATAATTTACGAATTATGCTGAGAAAAGTACTGCGATATATTCAAACATTGAAAATTGACATACTGTTAGTAATTTGCCTGTATTTTAATTAAGAAAACGATCAAATTGGACCTTGTTGGTGTAACGAAAAATATATCATATCGTTGCTGATTGCTCGGCACATTCGGCTGATATTGGATTTCATCTGAATTACATTCTGAAGCGAATTCACACATCAAAGGGAGTCCTGTTTGACCACCTGTTGTCCGGCACTGTAAGTGACAATTATGCCACTTTGAGTACGAACAGATCGTTAACTTTATTAGCACCGAGATTTGTGTCAAGTTTCGCAATTTGCTTACATAAAACGTCAGAATTTCTTCTTCATTACTGCCTCGAGATTACTAATTATTTTAGATTCTTTTTAATAAAATTTAGAATATTATGCACACGATTGAGAAAATTTCGTGTTTTAGTTTGCGAGTATTTTGCCATTTTAGAGACTTCACTCTTTTAAATAATTACAAAATTAAATATCGCAAATTTTACGACACTAATTCGCAGCAATGACTTAATCGTTTATCATTATCAGATTTCGCTCTTCCATATTCAAAATTTATATAAACTTTTGCAATTTGTTTATATAAAATACTAAGAATTTTTTCATATTTTATCTTATATTTCAAGATTACCAAGTAGTATGTCAATTACAAAGACATTTGATGTAAAAGATTTGAAAATTATAGTTCGAGCTTGTCTGTAAGCAATTTGTCATTTCACAGCTGTCGCTTTTACTAATATATTCGCGAAATTAAATGTCGCAAATTACGTGGACCGATTCGTGACGATGATTTCGACGATCATTATCCTGTCAGATTTTGCTCTTCCGTGTCCGAAATCAATTTGTGCGGCAACGACGCTATAGCACGAAACGCCGCGAAGAAAATCAATCACACGGCGAGCGCGCCTCGCCTCTCCACGGCGATAGTCCACGTGCCAGCGGCGAGTTTCGCGATCCGCAGGTGCATCGCCTGGCGCATACGCGCACCTGCAACCGCATCTCTCTCTCTCGATCGCACCTGCATCATCCAGCTGCCGCGGTATAATTTCAAGGTCGTGATTAACGGAAATCTGCGGAGATCGGCCCGCAGCTAATAATCGACGAGTTTGGACGATTGACGGTTCCAAGCTCCTTGCAAATGCAAATCAACTGGATTTAATGTGCAGCTGCATCTCTCGATGCACGCATATTATTAGAAAAGTCGAACTTCGCATCATTATCCTAATTTGCGATTAAAATTGCATTTAATTATCAGGCAATTGATGCTTTCTCAGCTAAGCGATAATGATTCAGATTTACCAACACATTTGTCGATGAAATTTTGCGACTCATTATGTTTCAATTGTTGCAATTAGTGATTAATACGGTGTGATAGACATGAAATGCAACGAACTATATTTAGAGAATCAGATGACATTTATGCTCGAGTGTGTTTGTCACAGTTATTGAAAATACCATCGTAAATCAGATTTTCAGAAAATTGATCAAATTCCGCATCTTAATATCAATCTTTGCGAGAATTGCAATTTTTATTAAAGCAATGCCACTTTTTCTTTATGTTTCTGCGCACTTATCGCTATTTCCGACGATAAGGCGTCACGTCGCTTTTTTATCATCAATGACGAATTTGCATCCGTTTCCTGAACATCGTTTCAAGACATTCGCTTAAAAGTTTTTATATAAAAGTCAGCTTTATTTCTTATATCGCGTGTTTCGAAAGAGATTACAATAAAATTATGATAAGATTAAATTAAATATTACGCCATCAAATAAATTTGGAATTTGTCAAAGCGTTTAACAGATATAGAATGCGGGTTCTAATATTGAGTTTAGTTCTATATTGATGGACGCGATGCATATTATAGTATATTATTTTCAAATCGATGATTACACTTTAACAATTTTATTAGCACAGAATTTGAAATTCGCGACAGATATAGAAACATAGAATTTTTAAATAAAATGTGAACAACCTCGTCTTTAAAAAGAGAAATTTTAAGAATTAATACTCTTCACTAGAAAACATAGAAAAGTGAAAGAATTTTTAATTCTCAAATCAATTAAAAGTGACCTCTTTACCTTCTCACTTTCCCTAGTAAATTTATTTTCGTAACTTTTAATTCTGTATAAAACACACAATTATAAATAACTTTCCTATATTTGACTTTAACGAAATACACCAGACAGGACTTCGCGAATGTGTTAAATGTCACCTTTAATGTTGCATAACAACGGATATTCGTATTTAGAGCGAGAGTGTCAACGGCATTTAAAAATTCAACGTACACTATTCTGGAAAGTTGAGTATCTGGCACAATGCATCACAGAAATAAAACGTTCGCAACTGTTCGACCCGTATCGCTGGACAAATCTCTTCGCTTCGCTGTTCACTCTCGTTTCGAGATTGCGCCGCGGAATTGCGAATCGATCGATTCACGCGCGACACGAAGGAAACGTGAATCGCGCGTGTAAGATCGGGGAGGGAATCGCGGAGTCGGACTCGCCAAGGGAATGTTACGCGCGCAGTCACGAACGATTGCGACCAGGGGAGAGAATTAAAATGCACAACTGGCATGGGCACGCGGGTCGCCCACATGGCACAATAGTTACCGTCAGCGCGCGTGTGGTGGCGGCATTATTACGGCAAGGGACATAATTCACACGGGAACGTAGGGCATCGGATGACACGCGTCTTGAATCTTGTGAAGCAAAGAAAGGGCGTACAGTTGCGCGTCCGTTTATAACTCGATACGACGAAATGGCCATTAAGAGTCTCTCGGCAAATCCGACGCTGATTGTCCCACATTTAGCGGAAATTTCACGTCCGCAAATTAAACTTAATTTTATTATCTCTCCACGAAGATCTTCTGTATAATATTTATGCCGCGATAATCAAACGAAAGCGAGTTGCGGTTACTAATGGCATCTAAACAACTTAATCCAATTTGATTATCTATTTAGGCTGTCGCGTTATCCGCGCGTAAATTAATTTAATTCAGCTTCTCATCGCTCGCAATTTGATTTAATTTTAATGGAATATTATTCGATTAAATCAACGAGTTTCGAATTAACAAATAAGAATTAAATTTCTGTTTCAATGAAGCTTGTTTGAAATTGAACTAAAACAAGATTTTATTATTCGCTAAAATGCAGATATTCCTTAATTTCTACAATTCCGCGATTAAATCTCCAATTTCTGCTAAAATTCAAGGAATTTACCGAAAAATTTGTGGATAAGAGAAAGCATATGACACAATCAGTGTCAGTGAATGATAAAACTAGTTCCGCCACTTTTTTTCGACACACACACGTAGCATCGCGATGATTCATTTGACAAGCATACCAGAATACCGGGGAAACCTGCTCTCCAGAATGTCACCGGTGACTCATTGGGCCGTAAAAAAAAAAACGAGAGATCGCGATGATACACGGATACATCGCTCCGGGAAAGTTTCTCGTGTCACCGCAATCCAATTTCGTGGAATTCTGACGCCGCGCCAAGGAATAACATCGACGACCGCGAATCAATGAAATTTTCTCACGGGTATTTATCGTCCGTGAGAAATCAGAAGCCGAAACGAGCTATGTAATCATTGCACGAGCGTGTTACATTAATAATTTACTTCTACTATTCTTCTTTATCAGATATTCATATATTCAAATAAAATAATTCGTTAAATAAGATTACAGCCTATATTTTATAGCAAGGTTTGAATTTTCCCAATTTCTATTTACATATTATATAAGAGAATTTATAAGCAAATTGTGTTATATAAAAATTTCTAAATTTCTAAATGAAAGAACCGATTGGGTTTCTCGAATTTATTTGCCATAAAGCGCGATCGATCTAATAAGAAAACGACATGTAATAATAATGACGTCATAAATAATTCTGCGTAATTACCAAATTTACATGCTTTAAGCGGCCATATGGCGACGTCGACAATAACAGGGTGAAATGCAGCGTGGCTTATGTTGCGTCGTTGCGTATCATTATGTGTCACGCGTTTCACATGTCGATGTGACGCCTTTTCGGAATATCACTGACTGCTTTGTGTTCGCAACGAAAGATCCATACCGAGAGAACGGTATATCGTAAAATATATATACCATAAGTATCTTTATCGAAAGCAGTGATATCTTCGATAGACGACGTCGCGAATGCCGATATCCACACTTGAGCTAACACTCGAACAAGAATCTTATTGCGGCCTTGCGAATTCTGTCGAATCAATGCGCGACTTCTTATATAATAAATAATTGATACTTGATGAAATTTATTCCGATTGAATGTAAATGGAATACAATTCTATTGTGATTTATTTAACATTAATAATATGAAACAAAAATATTTAAATTAAAAAAAAATCCCGTTTGTGATGAAAAACTTAAACGGCAATGAATTGATGCGATTTTATATAAAGTATCTCGCGTTTCAAATTATTGAAAAATGTCACTTGAAGAACAAGTATGTGTCTCGTAATCAAACAAATCAAATCATTGCGATTATTGTATCATAAGTTCGCTTTCTGCGTAATATAATGCTGATTGTTAAATGTGGGATAAAATCTTATTGCGACATTTATTAGCGTACTTTATATCATTGCAAGATATTACTCGTGACAAACTTATCACATTGGTGACACGAGTGATGCGATTCCACCTATTTCGCGCAATCAAACATCAAATTGTTGCAACTATAATGCGTTTTTCTTTCTCACAATACCGGTACCGGCACAAATATCGCGCTGACACGCGCGCGGCACGGCATGCTCTACTGGTCGTTGATCTCGTGAACCCGTGAACGGCGCGGTTTTTTCCCACCGTTGTGTTCCCTTGACTCCTTCGTCTAGTGCGAGCATGTTAGCCGACAACCGCGGCACGCGAGAGCGGGATTACGCGAGCGCGCGAATCGATTGGGCATCGAACCGGCGAAAGTCGCCGCGAACTTGACATCGCGCGCGTCAGTCAGCTGCCAGACGAGAGAAGCTCGTGTGTCGCCGCGCCATCGTGCTATCTGCGTCTGTCGCCCTCAATTTTCAACGCCGCAAACCGTATCCCTCGATCGAGTCAACGGACACTCCGTCGGAAGCGCGCG